GGGGTTTTTCTTTACAAAGATCTATGCATTTACGTCATTATATAATATGATCGATTATCTTGCTACTTGTAATATGACCATATGTCGGAGCTATTCATTTCCAACTTTTCACCTCCTCTTTCTGATATCCCAACAGGTTTTCGTCTTCAACTTTGTCTCATTCCCATTGATCGTCGTTCGATTGATGAGATATTCATTGAGAAGCCTTTCACCGTCTTCACTTCCATCACCAAAACGCGAACATTTCAGCTCGTTGTTTGGTGAGAGCGGGATGAATTGATGGAGTCTAGAAAGAAAATCAAAGTCAAAATTCGCAAAATGAATGAAGAATGAAGACTCACTGAATAATGACATATCCGACAAAGACGAAGAAAAACCCGAGCAGTCCGATGCTGACAATATAGCCGCCAATCTTGCAAAACGTTTTCAAATAGCCACGATACGTTTCATCAAGTGACATCTCTCTCAGATCAAAATTTTTCTCGTATTTCTCGTATTTTTCAAAGTTCTCAGCACATCGAAGTTTGTTTTTATGATCGGAAAAGGTTAGAGTCAGAATAGTCAGTCAGTCAGTCAGTCAGTCAGTCAGTCAGTCAATCAGTCAGTCAGTCAGTCAGTCAGTCAGTCAGTCAGTCAGTCAGTCAGTCAGTCAGTCAGTCAGTCAGTCAGTCAGTCAGTCAGTCAGTCAGTCAGTCAGTCAGTCAGTCAGTCAGTCAGTCAGTCAGTCAGTCAGTCAGTCAGTCAATCAAGAATAATCAAGATCAATAAAAGAGAAAAGATGAAACAAATGAATTTAAAAACTGAAAGATTAGATTGAATCTGGAGATCGAAACGTGTGAAGAGTCTAGTCTAAAGCTCTAGTTTTTTTTTTATTTAAAAACTTTTGGAAAGTGAAAAGACTAACTTTGAAACTATTTTATATTAAGCTTTGTAAAGAAACTAATTAATTTGTAAAGATAAAGATATGTGAATAGTTTAGGTTAAAGGCATGGCTTGGCTTTGGCTGGGCTCGGCTTTGGCTTGGCTTGGCTTGGCTTGGCTTGGCTTGGCTTGGCTTTGGCTTGGCTTGGCTTTGGCTTGGCTTGGCTTGGCTTGGCTTGGCTTGGCTTGGCTTGGCTTTGGCTTGGCTTGGCTTGGCTTGGCTTGGCTTGGCTTTATTTTCGCTCTAACTGGATTAGTTTTCAATCCAACTTTCGTTAATCTCTTAACAAGTTGTTGACAAAAGTCAGAAGTGCTTAAGATTGTAGATAGATCATAGATAGATCATAGATAGATCACAAAAACATTGATAAACTGAAGAATAGGCTTTTAAGCTTACTTTGAATTTTGTGATTTAGTTATAGCTCTTGGATTGATCACAAATTTGTGCTCTGTTTCCTCAAGATTGTAGCCATTAAAGGAGTCAATATAGTGGGCTAAATTGACAAAAAAATATGAGCAAAATAAAGTTGTTTAGCTCAAAAAGATCTCAAGGATTTAAATATGATGGAAAAAAAATGTTTAGCATATTCAAAACGTTTAAAATTCAAATCGAAAACAAGATGCGGATCAATTGAAGTTTTCGGCGTGTGGTTTGAGAGAGGTTTGAGAAAGATTTTCGTATTTTCTCCTTGAACAAAAAAAGGAAAAAACAGTGGTTTATATTGGATGAAAGAATCGAAAAAGAAAGGTAAAAATTGATAGAAAACCTTGAAGAAAAGGGAAAAGTTTGCCGTTTTTTTGGGAGAACGCAATAGTAACTGCGCTGTAGTTTCAAAATAAAATTGTTTAAACTATTGCAATAGCTATGAAATGTATTTGATTTTTAAATACTTGATCTGATTTTTTGTTGTTCTTCTTGTTCTTCTTGTCCTTCTTGTTCTTCTTGTTCTTCTTGTTCTTCTTCTTTCTTCTTCTTTCTTCTTGTTCTTCTTCTTGTTCTTCTTCTTGTTCTTCTTCTGCTTCTTCTTGTTGTTGTTGTTGTTCTTCTTCTCCTTCTTCTTCTTGTTCTTCTTCTTCTCCTTCTTCTTCTTCTGCTTCTTCTTGTTGTTGTTGTTCTTCTTCTTCTTGTTCAATCGACCACCACAACTAGACTTCTTGCTTAAACTTCTTGCTTCTTGCAAACTTTTCCCAATCCATTCAACTCAAAACTAAGTATGTTTATCTAAAGTTTGACTAATAGTAAATCGATTTAACTGCTCCGTTTACCATAACCCATAACATAGTAACATAAAAGATTTAATATAACATTTAACAGAATTTAACAGTCACGGATTTAATAGAATATTTCAAAATTGTAAAGGACAGGCAACCTATCCCTCTTTTTCGAGATTTATTCAAAGTTAATCCCACGGTTAGTTCAAGGAGAGGTTCTTTCGTTTTAGAAATTCCAGTCACCTCCAATAAATTTGTGTATAGCTCTTTTCCAATAAGAACTGCCAGAATTTGGAATCGACCCCGTTGCGCCCCTAGATTTGGCGACTCCAGAATTTGGAATCGACTCCCCAGAGAGTCCAATAGTCTCGAAACCTTTAAATTATCTGTAGATGATCTTGATCTTGAAGCTCTAGTGGATCCTTGACGTTATCTTTGCTATCCATATACCTATATTAATCGTGTTGCTTTTTATCGGCCCTTTTCGTGTTATGTGTATTAATCTTAAATATAGCGCACTTTATCTCAGGTCCTGAATAAAGTATCTATATATTATAGTCAATAATATGGTCATAGTTGATAGATTACTATAACATCAACTGCATCTAGTTAGCTAACTAACTGGCTACAATTTTAAATTAACAAACCCCTCAACTCTGTAGAAACTGTGGTTTTAAAAAAGCTCTTTTTTCGATGAAGCTTAAGCCGGTGTCTTTAGAATTCAACCAATATAAATGTCCTGAAATGAGATGAGCAATTATGCTAACCCTAATTGTCTTATTTCACTCACCCATTTTCACAGATCAAAAAATAAGTCTCAAAATGGTTCAAGGTACAGTTAAAGGGTTTCAAAGAGAGAAAATTGCCAATAAAACACTAAGTTTGAGCTGATGATCGGGTAAAAATTGGGAGGAAAACGTTGGAAAAGAGAGACAGAAAAGGGCAAGTTCTTTGAGAGAAGAAAATTTGGGAGGGAGTGACAGAATCGATGAAATCATTTGCTTTCTCTGTTTTGCCCACCCTCAATCGCTTTGTTGATTTCCATCGAATCTTTTTGATGTAAAGGGAAAAGGAAATAGTTTTTGACGGGTTTCATTTAAGGAAATTTTTCAGAACTTGAGAAGTAAGAAGGAAAAGAAAATCACTTAGTTATTATAAATCATCTTTTGACTGATGATCGAATTAAAAATCAGTTCAAGCAAGTACAAAGATGACTCAAGATACTTGGTCTGATCTTGCTTAGCCTATTGCTTTTAGAATAATCCAGCTCTGAAGCCTCTGAAGACTTGAGTCAAGCTTGTTCAAAGCTTGAGCCAAGCTTGTTCAAAGCTTGAGCCAAGCTTGTTCAAAGCTTGTTCAAAGCTTGATCCAAGCTTGTTCAAAGCTTGAGCCAAGCTTGTTCAAAGCTTGTTCAAAGCTTGAGCCAAGCTTGTGCAAAGCTTGAGCCAAGCTTGTTCAAAGCTTGAGCCAAGCTTGTTCAAAGCTTGAGCCAAGCTTGTTCAAAGCTTAAGCTTGTTCCAAGCTTGTTCAAAGCTTGAGCCAAGCTTGTTCAAATCTTGATCCAAGCTTGTTCAAAGCTTGAGCCAAGCCAAACTTTATCTGATCTATTCTATCTTTAAGTTATGATATTATTTTTAAATAAACTACAACTAACGCTTTATATTGTTTAGTTAAAATCATTTTGAGAGTATTGAAAGGGTTTTCTTGTGTAGTAGTAAAAAATTGGCTACTTTAAAGAAAATTTGCGGGAAAATTTGAACAATTAAAGTCATTTTTAACAAAAAGACTTCAGAAAAAACATGAAAAACTTTGCAAAAACTCGGGCTTTCCGCCAATCAAAGAGATAATCTATCAAAGAGGAGAAGAACTTGCAAGTGGATCCAAAATTGGAAAAAAGATTTGGAAAAGGGAATGAGAAAATTTCTCTCTTAGCCAAACTAAGCAAAATAGGTTGATTTCTCATTTCCTGATCTTTTCATCTTGATCTTTTACGAGAAAACTTTTTGATTTCGATCAATAGGCTACAAAGGATAGTTAGATAGTTGATAGTTGAAGGTTGGAGTTGAGAGTTGAAGGTTGGAGTTGATAGTTGAAGGTTGGAGTTGAGAGTTGAAGGTTGGAGTTGATAGTTGAAGGTTGGAGTTGAGAGTTGAAGGTTAGATAGTTGAAGGTTGGAGAAAGAGAAAAATGAATTGCGAAAGATGCAAATTTGGTATGGCTTAATAGTTTTTAAATCCCGTGTAGATCTTGTAGATCACTATCACTATCACATCCTTAAACAGAGCTTTAAATTCAGAAAATGTGGCATGTACAGTATGTACAGAAGGGTTGGCTCTGGATCTAGCTTGTGGTTGACTCAAATATGATACTTTTGATAGCCAATAACTTGTTTGCCATTGGTTTTGGATAGATATATTCTAACAGGCGCCAGAGCTTGTAAAATCGAAACAGGCTGGACTAGAAGTCAGATCTAGACCTAGCTTCTATTTGATTGCTAGTTGTAGAAGTGCACGGGCCAGGCTTTAGGTCTAGCTCTGAATCTAGCTTGTGGTTGACTCAAACATGATACTTTTTTACTTACCAGACTTCTGGTGGACAAATTTCTAAAAGATCTTTTGCATGTACTGAATCGAGATCTTTTAGAAATTTGTCCACCAGAAGTCTGGTAAGTAAAAAGTTCAAACTTTAGATCTCGAACGCCTCTGTTAATCGATTAGATCAAAATTAGCAAATCAACGAATTGAACGTGCACTTTCTTTGACTTTTCTCAGGTAAACATCGTTTATTTGTTATATCTCTTCTCTTGAACATTCCTATTTTATTGAAATGGCAAAGAAAATTGAAATCGTTTTTGTTTTCTTTTCTCAGGTGTTATTCACAATCACCACTGTTCGATACTCAGCCATTCGCTCGTCACGATGATAATCGGGTGAGTTAAAATATCTGAAAACAAAGCTGAAAAATCAGTAAAACTTTAAACTTGTGGTTGCTTTACTGTAAAGTATTCTCACTACAATATGTTGGACAAAAAATATAGACTTGAACATCTAGAGTCAGACTATGATAGGTTAAAAGACAGGTTTAGGTCCCGGCCAGGTCGGGTCTGGTAGAGAGCTGGCCAGAGCTAGCCTGGGCCTGGCTCTACTCAGCTTTGATTCCTTACTTCCAGTTTTGGTTTTGGTTTTTGGCCTGCTTATCACCGAATCAGTGCCTACTAGTACGAACCTCTCACGGAGCTGCTTGAAAAACTGATCCCTGTCCTCGCCGGCTTTCCGAATCGTCGATGAAGACCGTCTACGCGAATGCCTACAAAGAAATTCACAAATATTTCTCTCTAAACAAACCTGATCATATTTCTCAAGTGTCCATCCAGCTCATCGCTCAACTTTTGCCAATTCTAAAGCTTTTATCGAAAGATTTCTCCTTTCCTTACCTCATTTTCATCACAAAAATGGACATGTGTTTGCGAGTTGAAACGATTATTCGATAGTCGCCTTTTCTCTCCCATTATATTCTTGGGAACATTAAGAAATGAGTCATCACGAAAAAGGGTTGAAAAATCGTGAACAGCTGTGGTTCTAAAAGTTTTTATAGTCTTCTAGGTGAAATTTTGAAGTATTTTTGCATGCTGCATTCGCCTAAAAAGATGGAAGATGGTTTTTGGACTTAAATCCGAGTTCTAATTGGTAGACTCAATAAAATGAATAGCTCTAATTGATCCCGAAAACCCCCGGGTACAGATTTATCTTCTATATCTTCTTATATATCTTCTTATATATCTTCTTTTCATACCATATAATGGAAAAAGAAAAGAATGACTGAGCTGTTCTTTGTGCGCGCGCGTAAACGCTGTGGCAATACCCTTTTGAAATCCTCAAATCGCTTGTTTTCTAAAAAGTGTTCGTTTCTGAACGCAAAAGGCACTCTAAAAGGCACTCTTTTCTAGAGCGGCAAAATTTTTTTCATTTTCAGGGAGTGGGACAAATGCGACCTTTTTTTTGCGCACCCGGACATTTGCGCACCTTTTTTTCCACGCCTTGCCCATTAGCGCACCTTTTTTCGCGTTTTAAAAAAGCTCTAAAAAGCTAATATTAACCAATTTCTATTCCAAAAGTTGTTTTTCTAGGTAATTTTAGGGCGTAGAATCGAAATTTTGACATAACAGAGCTTGTGGAACCAATTTGAAAGACAAAACGGCTAGGTCAAATTACAGAAAATTTTTCTCTTTGTATAACTCCGTCCGTTTGTTTCCAGAAGCTCTGACATGTCAAAATTTGAATTCGACACCCTCAAATTACCTAGAAAAACAACTTTTGGAATAGAAATTCGTTAATATTAGCTTTTTAGAGCTTTTTTTAAAACGCGAAAAAAGGTGCGCTAATGGGCAAGGTGCGGAGAAAAAAGTGCGCAAATGTCCGGGTGCGCAAAAAAAAGGTCGCATTTGTCCCACTCCCCATTTTCATTTTATTTCTTCATTTTCTTGTTTTTTCTTTTTTCTTGTTTTTCTTGTTCTTTTTCTCTTTCTATTTCTATTTCTATCGAAATTTTATCTTTTAAACTAATATTTATTTTTAGAAATAACAAACAATGGAAGATCAATATGATCAAGATCAAGAAAAGGAAGAAATATGATCAAGAAAAGGAGAAGAACACGAACTACGTTCCCAGGTCTATTTTTTTCTGTATATTTCGATATTTTAAAAAATTTACCGGATTATTTCTATGCCTGAGATCAATTTTTTTTTGCCTTAAATCCAGCTGTATTTTTGCCACAAATTCGAATCTTGCACCCCCATTGTGTTACTTAAACAGTTGCTAAACTGAGAGAATAACGAATCCGACCATGAGTTGATAGTTTTATTTTTTGGTTTTCTCAGGAATCTTAGTTCAACCAATCTCTATTTAGTATATCTATTTGAGTAGTAAAATCTCTTGTTAAGGTTGTTCTTGTTCTTGTTCTTGTTCTTGTTCTTGTTCTTGTTAAATCTCTTGTTAATATGAAAATTTTAGATTTAGCAAAGCTCAACCTTGGAATCGAATGTAAACTGTGCCTTCTCGAGTCTCCGCCACTCATCGGTGAGTTGTCTTTGTCGACTTTTAATGGTTTCTCCACTGGTGGAAGGGGTTCTGTTTGCGTGCTAATATGCCTATTTTGTTGATCCTGAAATATTCGTTGATTAGAATTGTATTAACAATTGTTATTATATTAATTGTAAGACAAAACCTCCTCTGAATCCGTTTGTGTTGCACCGGTTCTTTTCAGAAAAAGCGCCGGCGCTGGCTCGGGTGGTGGGAAATTCGCGTTCTCGTCAACAATTTCCGCGTTTGCTTCCTGGGAAATTTCAAAATTAGATGAAATGAAAATTTTGAAAATAAAGCTGAAGACTGAGTTGTAAGCTTTCAGCTTTATTATACGTAAACGTATCGTTTTAGTAAGCCATTATAGTTTTGAGACTCACAATTTTCTTCAAAATACATTCCCCGCCAGCAACAAGACCATCTGCTTCGAGTTTTGCTAAAATTTATTTGGAAAATATAAAACTAGGGTGGGGTTTTTTTTAAATAGCCTTGAATAGGGTCCTTGGATTGGCCCTGGCCGGAAACCAGGGCCAATCCAAGGATAGAATCCAGACCAGACAAAGCCAAAGCCCGGCCGGAAACCAGGGCCAATCCAAGGATAGAATCCAGACCAGACAAAGCCAAAGCCCGGCCGGAAACCAGGTCCAATCCTGGCTTCAGCCAAGTCTATAGGGTGGCCCATAATTAGTGGCTTATCGTCAAAGCTGAAATTTGGCATTGGGCACAAAAGATTTGAAAAATCAAATTTAGACATTCCAACAAGACGGGGCTTCGGCCTACAAAGGCAAGAAAGTGCACAATTTTTGTAAAGTGAAGTTTCCCGATTTCATCTCTTTTTTTGAATGACCGGATCTCAATCCGATTGATTATTCTGTTTAGTCCATCCTTAAGGCAAAAATCTGCTCAAAATCGCATAAAAATGTTAAAAGTTTGAAGAAAATGCTTCTGAAAACCTGGGATGAACTCGATGATGCTTACTTGGTCGCCACGCCAACGCTTGACAGCGTGCTCGGCTAAAAATGGTGATCGCTTTGAATTTAATCGTTAATTTCTTGTTCATTGATACCAAATAAAGATTTTTAAAACAAAAGAGTTTGCTCTTTAAAGTTTAATTTTGTCTACCTACAAAGCTTTTTATCTACAAAGCACATTATAATTATGGCCCATCCTGTAGAACCATAGCAAAACCAGGGTCCAGATTTCGCTAGATCTAGCAAAATTCTAGTTACTAGTTTCACCGCAAAATTCGCAATCTTGTGCGAATAACTTCTTTCAAATTCAAAATTTTTGTTAGCTCTTTGTTTTTTTTTATAAACTATTAGGTTGGTGAATTGAAAGCTGCGGGACTTTGAACTAAAATTTATTCAACATAAAACCATCAATTCATTCCAAATAATTTCCATTATTATTGACGACTTCTGCCCATTTTACAGGCAATTTGCAGATTCCTCTTTTGTGGTAGGATTTTGGTTTTGAATCGAAAAACTTGAAATCCAATTTTTGACTGCTTCTTCCGGATCGAAGTGTTCTCCCGAAAGCTCATTGCTCATGATCCGGAATAAATAGTAATCAGAAGGGGCGAGGTCCGGACTGTATGCGGGATGCGCCAAAAGTTCCCAAGCAAGGCTATTTATTTTAGAGCGAGTCAGTTTTGCAACATGAGGGCGCGCGTTGTCGTGGATGAGAACGATCTTTGACTTGGAGGGTCTATTCTTCTTCAGGGATTCATTCACCTTTCCCAACTGTTCACTGTATTTGATTGCATTAACGGTCGTCTTGCTATCATTCCAAATAATTTTCATTATTATTGACGACTTCTGCCCATTTTACAGGCAATTTGCGGATTCCTCTTTCGTGATAGGATTTTGGTTTGTGTGTGAGACAAGTGTGAGACTCAAAAATGGAGAACTGGAGATGGAGACTGGAGATCCCAGTTTGAGCACTTTCTTCAAAAGAAACCCATTTTGGTGTCAATAGAAAAGTTGTAGAGAATCAAAAATTAGGCTTATAGCCAAATTTCCAAAAAGATACACTTAGTAGTTTCGGTTAAAATGCAAGTTTTGTGAAAATTCGTAAATTTGGCAATTTCTTGAAAACCAGTTTTTGAATCGTTCTGAAAATTTGGATATAAGCCTCATTTTTGATTCTCTACAACTTTTCCATTGACACCAAAATGGGTTTCTTTTGAAGGAAGTGCTCAAACTGTCACATATGACAATAGCCGGCAGTTTTCAATTCACCAACCCAATAGATGCAATTCTTTGTTTGCACATATAAAATCATTTTGATTGGATGACAAACCAGTCAACAAAATATTCATTGACCATAAACATAAACCAATAAACATTGACCCACTATCCAGCTTTTCTAGCCGATCTATTAACTAGTTAAAATCATTTTTATATTTACAAACGCAGAATTGCATCTAGTTTTTAAAAAGCTAGCAAAAAAAAGCAAAAATGGTCAAGACTTCTGGCTTTTAGCCTGTCCTACCTTGTCAAGCTCGTTAAAATGATCCTTGGCGGATCCATTGAAATCAACTCCACTCACTCACCAGAATTGTTGTTGAATCGTATCCTCAACGTTGTCGCTTCGATCAAATCATCGATATGTTCATTTTCGGAGGTAAGCTCTTGCAATTGACGGGAAAATAGTCGCCCGCCGAGGCTAGCATTTACCTAAAAAAGACTTCTTAGGAAATTGATACTAGTCAGTACTTTTATTAGGATCTCCACCTGATAGAACAGTCTGACAGTCTACTATTGTAGAAGTGACAATAAACTTGATCAGCTTGTTAGCTTTAAAAATTACCTGAAATTACCTACTACCTAAAAATACCTAAAAGTACTTACCTGAAAATTCTCGTCTATATAGCAACCGACGAATGCGTTCACCCGAGGTCTCACCAAATTCAACGCGTTCAAAATCGGTGCCGCGTGTTGCTAAATTTGGATTTGAGTGCCGAATTTGAATAAAAACTAATTAGTTTAATATGTAAACAATTTTTTAAAAAATCTAGTCCTTATAGTACTTGTTAGACTTCTCGCAACTTCTTGCTCACCTTAAACGTAGGCATCTCAACTAGCAGCAAAAATTCGAAATCCAATGCACCGGAAGCTTTTCGAAAGAATGAGATTCGACCCATCTATAAAAATTGAAGATTCTTGAAGTTTGGGTGACTAAACCGGGATTTCTGGGTTGAGAGCATTTCGAAAGAGTCTTGCGCCGGTCCAAGTCTTCCATTGTGAGAGAAAAGCTCTCGAAGCCATATCTTCCATCGTTTTGAAGATGAAAAAGAGGTAGCCTAAGATGTTAAAATTAAAATTCAAGTTAAAATAGTTTGAACGATTCTATTGTGCCGTTCTTACTGTATATTTTCTTACCCATACTCCTCGAATCGATCTTCAGCAATCCGTTAGCCACCCGTGGATCCAAGCCTTGAACGAGTCGAAAAACGCCTATAATAAAAATTAGAGTAGACTTTCTTTCTTGACTTAACCAGTTGTCAGACTGTTGATCTCATCGAAATGTTTCCGATTCTCACAAGTTCCATCGATGAGCGCAATGTCGACAATGGGATACAAGACTGAAATAAGATACTAAATGAAAACTGGAGCTGAAATAAGATACTAAATGAAAAACTGAAACTGAAATATGATACTAATCATAGTAACTAATCACAGATAACTTGAAACTCCAACTTTCAAACTGATCTTGGCTTTACACAAAACATTTTAGAATTTTTGAATTTAGAATTGTCCCTTTTAGAACTCAGAACACTTGGATTACAAAAATATGCAAAAATGTTTAACTAAACTCAAACCATTTCTCTCAACAGTAATCAAGCGCTTCATCGAGATCAGCTCAACACTCGGATCACTGACATCAATGTGGGCACAAAGATCAAAAATCTTGCTCATCGTCTCCCCAAATTCGTAGGGTCGAACGATTAGGTATTGATCGATATTCAGCAACATGTGAGAGTCCATAAATTGGGGTGGAAGACTGCAAAATGAGACACAACTAGGGTAGATTGGGCCGGCTTTTCTCTTTTAGGAAAATTCAATTTTCTCTTCTAGATTTGCGAGCTCAATCATAAGCTGTAAAAAGAAGTTTTGACGAGATTTTCGTCTGTTCAACTAAAAGAGAATGATGTCAGGAAAAGGTATTTCCAAAAAAAAGCATTGGAAACTTATAGTACGCTATATTAAGCTCTACAATAGACCAATACAGTTCGCTACAGTAAGCTCTAATCCCTTCCCTTTTTTCTAAAAACTTCGCTGAAACTCGAGTGTGCCAAAGAGCTTGTGTTTGCGGGAGCACAAAATACACAGTACTCTTTTTATCCTGAGATCCACTGGAAAATTGTGGTTCAATTTGCTGAAATCCCTGCCTTTTTGCTTGAAATCCCTGCATTTCGGTATTTTTTTGTGTCTACGCTGATCAAACACCAGAAAAGTGGTTTGTCTAGCAACGATTAAACAAAATTTCTTTGAAAAGCAATCGATAATGAGAGTGGGACAAATGCGACCTTTTTTTCCGCGCCTTGCCCATTAGCGCACCTTTTTTCGCGTTTTAAAAAAGCTCTAAAAGCTAATATTAACCAATTTCTATTTCAAAAGTTGTTTTTCTAGGTAATTTGAGGGCGTAGAATCGAAATTTTGGCATATCAGAGCGTGTGGAAGCGGAGAACGAGAAACGGCGAGGTATACAAATTAAAGAAAATCCACCTACCATTTTTCTGTAATTTGACCTAGCCGTTTTGTCTTTCAAATTGGTTCCACACGCTCTGTTATGTCAAAATTTGAATTCGACACCCTCAAATTACCTAGAAAAACAACATTTGGAATAGAAATTGGTTAATATTAGCTTTTTAGAGCTTTTTTAAAACGCGAAAAAAGGTGCGCTAATGGGCAAGGCGTGGAAAAAAAGGTGCGCAAATGTCCGGGTGCGCAAAAAAAAGGTAGCATTTGTCCCACTCCCATCGATAATTGTTTTTGCTCGATGATTTTCCTACCAATTGTCCTATTTTCTGATTTTCGTACCCCCCAGGCACACTTGTAATTGTAGAGCAGAAACGTTTGATACCTAAAGAATAAAAATGATCTCTCATTTCATTTTAGAAATTATTTATCCTTGAAAATATTTTATAAACTGATCTGGAGACTCAGTTTTGTAGACAAATCGCCGCCAAACCAATTTGTGTCGCGTTCTATTTCGTGCCCTTTTACTGTAGCCGATTTTCCAGTCGCGTTTCTCTTCACTTTTTCATTCATTCATTTCACTTACGTTGCTCGAAGACTTTCTTTTGGTGTAAAAGTATTTATTTTAATGTTTTTATCTTCTCTTATAAGCTCCAACGTCTTTTCTTTAAATGTTTAAAAAATTTACTAAAGAAGCAGCGAAATTGAGCCTAAAATCATTTAGTTTAAATCAGTGGCATGCTTTTATGTTTTTTTTTTCCGTTTTACAAGTGTTGTATCATACTTTTTTCAGTAGCATACTGTCGTATCATACTTGAGCTTCAATTTTCTCTTTCCAGATTCCAATGGATGTGGACAGATCCCTGGACGACCTCATTCGCCATAATGGACGCGGCGCTTATCGGGGTCGCGGAGGTCGCGGAGGTTTGATTCGTGGAGGACGTGGAGGACGCAATGGAAATCAAGGATCATTTGTAGGGATTAGCTTTGAAGTTAAAACTGTTGCTTTACGGTTTCGTAAAGTGTTGAGCACGTCTTTGCTCTGGGGAAACTAAAATTAGTTACGCAGCAATTGTTTTGAAATATTTTAGAAAACTAGCTTACATGGCCAAATAGGTGGGTGACTTTGTCACTTTTACTTAAGAATATTGCTTTTGTCTTGGCGCCCTACCATCCCTACATGGTTGGGTGTATGTAACAGAAGCTAAATAGTGCCCTCTGGGTGTCAGGCTACTTCGGTGCTGGGTGTTCAAATCCTAGTATTATCCTCTGGGCTTGAAACATTTGTCATTACTATTTTTCCGAGAATTTCTATCAAACGTGCATTATTTGATCCGCTTGTCATAATCGTTATAGTTATCTGAATTTTAAAGCTTCGATCTGTTCACTTGATTCATTTTTGCGTTTTAGCAACCTCGAAATCTCTACCTACCCCGGCAACGCCCTTTTGTCATCGGTGGTACTAGTGGGCCCGTTCGCGTCAACATGGCAAACTTGTTCAATGTTCATGTAGAAGATCTTGAGGTAAGCCGACAATTTCTTTTTTTATCTAGTTTCTTGCGATTTCACGAACACTTATACATTCTAAATGTTTAGGAGTTGTTCATAAACTACCCCCATGATGGTATTACAATGCACTACGACGAAAATGGGACCCCCGTGGGAACAGCTGATGTGCACTTCAAGTAAGTTGTGCGTTAGTAGCAATTTTAGCACAACTTTTTAGGGCAAGACCATCGTTTGCGGCAAAGTTGGTGAAAGATTGCAATGGAATGAGGATTGACGGTGTGTCATTTTTCCGATCTTGTAATTGGAGCTTTTTTATCTTTCAAAGTTTTTTATTACAGGACGCCCGATCAAGTTTTATTTGCTTGGACCACGACCCAATCCGATGTACTTGAGGCCGGTATGTTTTGATTTTAAAAAAGTATAATCTGTTTTATTTAGAGCTTCCGCCCGCCATTTAACCGGCGAAATACGTACACCCACAATAGTGGTCGAATCTTCAAGGTAGCTTGTTTGAAATTAACAAAGTACGTTGTTTATTTAGACTGCAAGACGTGGCGCTGGAACTTTCGGTGGCCCAAAGCCCAAACTAAGCGAGGCTGAGCTGAATGCCCAACTTGATGCTTACATGGCCAAATAGGCGGGTAACTTTGTCACTTTTACTTAAGAATATTGCTTTTGTCTTGGCGCCCTACCATCCCTACATGGTTGGGTGTATGTAACAGAAGCTAAATTGTGCCCTCTGGGTGTCAGGCTACTTCGGTGCTGGGTGTTCAAATCCTAGTATTATCCTCTGGGCTTGAAACATTTGTCATTACTATTTTTCCGAGTATTTCTATCACACATGCATTATTTGATCAGCTTGTGTCATAAAATTGAGCCACGTTTTGTTAAAAAAAGTCCAATTGTCCTCTTATAAAGTTTTCTTTTCAGATTGTGGTGTCGGACAACAAGAAGTTTCGTCTTTGTAAACTTGTTTTCGGGTCTTCCGTCACCAATTTATCCGCCTTTACATTCGCAGGGTATTTTATATAAATTCTTATTTTAACTTTGCTTTTTTTTTGTTCTTTGAAGGGAGATTCCATAAGTTGAAATTAACTGAATTCTATGGGAATTCGAGACGTTAAATCAGATTTGTGAATGCGTAACTTTGCCCTCCACACAAATATCGGGTCTTTCTTTCGTTCAATGGGCGCATAAAACACTCCATAAAACAGCGCATTCCTTTGGAATTTCCCTTTACCTCCTAAACCTAATAAGGCCATTTTTTTGTTATTTTATGGATCTCTATTATTATTCAAAATAATTGAAGTTTTCGTACTATACCTTGTTCTCTGTTTTTTTTCAATCAAGACCATGAAATTCTTTTCAAGCCTTTCAATTTATTTATTGCTTTAAATAAATTTTATTTATACCCGTAAAAACAAATAACACATCGCTATCTAAATTTGTTTCGTCTTCGAAATTTAGGGGAGAAATAAACAAGCAGCATTAGGAGAAAACTTCCGAAAGCAAATACAAAAAGTATTAAAACGTTTTGCTGGAAGTCTTTTGGCGAGTAATCGTCGGGGTAGCTGTCATTTAGCCAATCGTTCGGTGTAGGCCATCTAGAATTTTGTCACGTGAAAATTCGATCAATCAAAACATGATAGATGTCGCCGTTTAATTTTGAGATTTTAATGACCTGCAAAATCTCTGAACGGGCGTTGTGTCGATTTGTTCTCGCTCGTCTCGTCGACAACCATTGACCGTTGTTTGATTGATCGCCAGTTCGATCAATGGCCGAGTTGCGTAGCGAAAGGGCAATGCGACCACCAGATGCGCCGCCCAATCAGGGAGGTCGCCCAGCGTTGAGTGGGATCTCAAAAAATGTTCTTAGGATGATTTGAGTTTAAATTTTATGAGTTAGTACAGTAATACTGTAGCATGCAGAGAAAGTTGCCACGTTTTGAAAACGGATTATATGAGAGAAAACTTTAATAAAAAGTTTTAGGGTAGCTCACTCGTTTACCTCATCACTCCTCCACTCATCACCCAAGCAACGGTGAAAGCACTTGAAGTTACCATAAATAGTGAACGAATTTCCCTAAACATTGCTATTTTAAATGTTTTTCTTGCTGATTACCTTATAAATAGCATCAAAATGAGCGTCACGAATTGCCCAATGAGAAAGCAGTCGAGAAAAATGACGAACGATTGGAGGATTGTGAAGAGAGACGAGATTTTGAGGCTCCTAAAAGAAATTTTTTTTTTAAATCTAACAAATTTCCTTACCAAAAGAGTAAAGCTGTGGCACCGGAGATGCCGAGGAAATTCGGGAGAAATGTGGTGATGAGGTAGATGAGAGGCACGGCCAGACTCGGATAGAGACGCTCGTCCGACTCGAGGTAGACGAGGCGCCGGATGGGCTCGACTGGAAATGAGCTCTCTTTCTTCTCCTTTCTCTTCCGCCTTTTATTTCCTCTTTCTTCTCTGGCAAGAAGATGCCGGATAGCGCAGTGATTAGAGCATCTGCCCGGGAAGTAAAAAGGTTGAGGGTTCAATCCCCTAGTTACCGCTTACTAGACTTTTATTGTTGATTGACTGACAATTGCTGAGAGATGAGAGATCAGTCTCACATTGATTCCCCTACGTTCAAAGTAGGCATACTTTTGGCTATAACTTTTATAGAATTACTGAATCTTTGACCTTTTTCGGTTCATAAATCTGTGTGATTTTGGGGTTATTTGATAGAAAATACTCTCGAATTACATCAAAATCTTGATCAGGAAAGTTTATGCAAAAATTATGATCAAAAGTACTGGGATTTCGATGAGCTAGGGCACTAATGCCTCAGAATCTGACACTTGTCAAAGAGCAATAAATTTCTGATCATTTACAAGGAAAATAAAGCTCAATGCTTTCAAGATTTCTTTCGTTTTTGACATAAAACATTTCATTTGAAGCTCAAAAGCTGCACTTACATGTGATGATTGTTGAGAGTGAAGCTGTCAACGTGATCATCCACGTTATGATGCTCATTTGTAAAGCCATCGAGTGAGGAATGGTGTAAGAGTGATTGAGAGTTGAGGCGGTGAAGAGAGAAAAGAAAAGAATGAAGAGTGGGAGGCTGAGCAGTGTCCAGAAAAGAGCACTTAATCGGAGCAATGTGCAGTTGATCGTTCTTCTGGAAGTTGATCGTTCAATAAGATGTCTAGAGTTTTAAAAGGCTTACCCCATGAGGATCTTCAATTGACTGATTAGACCTGGTCGACTTCCGTTGCACAAGGCAGCGCTCGTCGAGAGGCCGATCGGCTCGGTAAGGTTTGAACGGGTGTTTCCAATGATCGGGAAGTAATTCTGAAAATAATTCTCAACATTTTTAGCTCTTTAGATTCAGAATATAGTAAATATTCTAGTAAAGATGTTTTTGGTAATCTAAAAAAGTTCAACCACCACTATTCGAAGTCTTTGACCAAAGACTTCGAAGTCTTTGACTTGCTTGTGCTAAGCAAGTCGAAGACTTCGAACCAGGAACAACCAAGATAGGAAACACTGGATGACAATAGCAAGGGATAGAGAAATTTGGAAGCAGGTTGTGATCTGCGCAAAATAGGAACATCTAAGTGCGAAGACAGATTAAAAAAAGTTACAGTCTAAAGAACTTTAGTCATTATCTACCATAATCATTTCCATTTACACTGGGTTTCTTTTTGATCTCATCGGAAGACCAGCAACGAGGTGGAGCACAAGAGTGACAGAGATGGTCGGAAAAAGGATGGCTAGAGTGCAACCACCACCAGCACAAGCAAGTCGAAGAATTCGAACCAGGAACAACCAAGATAGGAAACACTGGATGACAATAGCAAGGGATAGAGAAATGTGGAAGCAGGTTGTGATCTGCGCAAAGTAGGAAAATCTAAGTGCGAAGATAGATCAAAAAAAAATTCAACGGGATGTGATCTTTTGGAGATGCAAAATCAATCGGGCTTTTTGAATCAGAATCAAGAAGATAGAGTTAATGGAGTTAATTTCATCAAAGAAAGCAAAGATTAGGGCGAAATCTCTTGAATTAACCTATTGAACTATAATCTTTTCCCTTATAACGTACCCGAAAAGCCTCGACCAATTTGATTGCTTGTTCTTGAGTCTCAGTGAAACGCGTCGCATTCTCACGATCCACCGTCACAAGAGAAACTGAAGAAATAGGGAAATATAGATTTTTTTTGTCTAGATAACTTTTTAAAGCACTTACTTAGATAAGAAGCTGGATTTTCGGCGATCGGACAAATGAAGCCGAGTTGATGGAGATAGAGCGGTAATTTGCTGGTTTGACCTTGAATGCTTTAATAAGAAAGAGATAATATTACAGTATTAAGGCCAGGAGAGACGAGGCTAGAGTATCAAGTCCTGATCGAAGAAAAACCCCTGAACCTGGCCCAAATCCAAACCTAACACCTGGCCAAAATCTTGGCATTTCGCCTAGCCTGGGTTAGGCTTAGATCTAGTTTGAACCATGTCGAATCAAGATTTGTTTATTATTCACCTGAATAGACAGATTCTCCATAATACAAAAGAGTGAGGCGATCGAGTAGCTGAGCGATATCCGATCTCGGCACTCGCAGAGAGATCACCGCCATTCGGCGATGTCGCTTCACAAAGGACTAAATACCGTAAATACTCTGAGTCGGGTACACTCGCGTCTTTTTAGAAACCTTTTTTCCTCAGCCCTAGATTTTCCCTAGCTAGACTTTTGGTACTAAAAATACTAGATTTCAAGGGTTATCATTTGACACTCAAGCGCACACTGTAGTATAAAGCAGCGCGGAGAACGAGACATTCAAAGTTAGACAACGGGGCTGTAGGAGAACGGGATGTCTAAATTTAGACTACGCGGCTGTACGAGAACGAGACGTTCAAAGTTAGACTACGCGGCTGTAAATCCATTATAGGAGGTGGCATTCTAGAGTATTTACGGGATTTAACAAGGATCAAATATTGATAAGTACTTGATTCTAAAACAATCTTCAAAATTGAATCTATCTTAATGTTTATAGCTTGTTACCTGCAAGCAAAGCATGAGTTGATAGGCGGATAACGGCTCTAAATGACGAATCGGATCATCGGCAATGATGAGAACTGGATCTTTGGCTGTGGCGATGGCAAGGAGGAGACGTCGACGAGAACTCTCCGACAGATCACCCACACATTCATGACCGTATCCCAGCAGTTCCCACTCGTTCAGCAATGAAAGTAACTAAAAAAGTGGGATTTTCTATCGTTACAATCTAGTTGTAAGCTTTCATTCAAAACAAATCCATTTAAGTTGCTCAAGTTTATACTCCAAAGTTGTACGACCCGGAATTGATCCAGCCGAATTGATCTCGTCCTCCGACCGGGAGACAAGATCGTTAACCACTTGGCCACAAGGCAAATGGCTCGGCTTGAGGTTTTAAGCTAATTAAACCTTTTGTAAGTTGGATTTAAACATTTTTTGACTTTATTGCTTAACAGCAAGATATTTTGAAGGGTGTCTATCAGATCGTGAAATTCAATCGTTGACTTAACTCCCGCTGAAGTGAGGGTGATCAAGTGCGTTGTGGCGTAATGGTTAGCACAGGCTAAGCGAAAGGTCGCCGGTTCGAGCGCCCGGCGGCG